ACGGTAAAGAGAGTTAACTCTGTCCCGACTGAACCCAGCACAAGTTACGATGCAGTTGTCCTTCCGAACAGCTCTGGCTGGGCCTGCGCTCGTGGCTCAGCGAGATGTCGTGGAAGGAGGCAGCAAACGTATCACTTCTGGGTGAAGCGGCAGCCCGTGCTGTTGGCTTCAGTCGGTGATTTGACAAGGGACCTGTCCTCCCGGGCAGCCTGACTAATGCTGGCGCTCCTTCCCGCAGGTGCCAAGAACCTGTACATCATCTCCGTGAAGGGGATCAAGGGGCGCCTGAACAGGCTGCCGGCGGCCGGCGTGGGCGACATGGTGATGGCTACCGTCAAGAAGGGCAAGCCAGAGCTGAGGAAGAAGGGTGAGCGCAGAGTGGCGAGCGCCGAGAGCCTGCCCGTGCTGTAGCGTCCCCCCTCCGAGGGCCGGGGAGGCGGGCTGCTGGTGGAACGGGAGCGGGATTCCTCCCTCAGCGACACGGAAGGCAGGCGCCTTCTGGAGCGTCGCCTCCGCCCTTCCGAAAAGCGCTCGTTGGGTCTGTGTGCAGTGGCTCAGCGAGTTGTCGTGGAAGGGCAGAGCAAAGCCATCGCGTTTGGGTGAAGCGGCGGCTCGTGCTGTTGGCTTCAATCAGCGGTGTGACATTCTGCCTTGGGAAAAAGGCGCTGCTGCTGCTCCGGAGGGGTCCTCGCTGAGTACTGTCTGTGAGCTGCTGGTATCCTTAGGAATAAAGGTGGGAAAGTGGAAAACCACTCATTATAGAATCATAGAATCATAGAATCACTAGGTTGGAAAAGACCTTAGAGATCATCCAGTCCAACCGTAGATGCAGCTGTGTTTCCCGGTTGGTTTGAAGTGTGTTGTTGACTATAAAGTTTAGTTTCTTGTAGCGAATCGCTGCAAACAGGAGATAAACCCCGTGCGCCGAGTCGGAAGCAGAACAGTTCCTCTGGGATAGCGGTTGCCGGACCGTCTGCTGACGGGGACGGTTTCCGTACCGAGCTGTTCCCTTTCTCTTGGCAGTCCACCCGGCGGTGGTAATCCGGCAGCGGAAATCGTACAGGAGAAAAGATGGGGTGTTCCTCTATTTTGAAGACAACGCGGGAGTGATAGTGAATAACAAAGGAGAGATGAAAGGTACGGACGGGAACGCTGGGCGGAAGGGGAACGCGGAGACGGGAGGGTGGGTCGACGCAGCCCTCCTGGGGGGAAGGACCCGGGTTCTCCTCGGAGAGTGCAGTTGGGCCGAACCGGCGTTGGTGTAAAGCGTTGCCC